TGGGGTCTGTTGCTGAGATAATTTCTATCTTGTTTGAGGGTTGCCCTGGACCATCCAATTTGAGCGACTCAGCCGTCATCACAGTTGGAAAGTGTTAAACATCCCAAACTGACAACATTGTACGGTCCAGGTAGGACTGGAGCCTCTCTACACCAACCAGCTCGCCCTGAATCCTTACAGAGTTCATTGCGGCCTTCAAGGGCAGGAGAGGCGAATAACATAGAAGCTGGGCAGCAGTGGACGGAGGTAAAAAATCCCCCCGGGGCGCGGATTTCAACCAAATTCTTCCAGCACCTCGCCCCTGCCCTTACTGCAGTAGTTCACGCTACCGTTACGTAAGCTCAAGGCAGTGCGGTCGTCCCGCTCTTGTCAGCAATATTCGGATCCTCAGCTACTTTGACTTTGGTGATGCCCAAAGGCCTACGAACTGTCAGTCTGCAGAATCATTTCCGACGCTGTACTCTAAGCTGCGCACAGCCCGGCTCTGAAGAAGGGCGAGCGCCGCCTGGAAATCTTTGCGCATTTTGAGGATTCCGCTCTGAGAAACGGTTCGAAACACAAGCACCTCCTTCATCGGTTCCTTGTAAAAGTTGGCGACTGTGGCCTTCAAACACAGACGTTAACCGCGAAAAACATTCTAAATGCCACACCTGCTCAAGCAGCCGTTCTGAAGATTTCCGGTCGAATCCTTCGGCCATGAGCGCTCGACCTCGTAATCTCCGCAAGACGCAATGTGCAGAACGGAGTACTGCTCCAAGGTCGGTAGGATACCCGCGAAGGTTCTCTTCTTTCACGAGAACTTCGCACCTGCAGCAGTCGGCGCTCATCCGTACACTGCACAGATACCTGAAATGGGAACAACTCGACAAACATCGACACACACACACACACACAGACACACACACACACAGAGACACACAGGCAGGTATGCTGGGTCGAAGGACACAGTAACTGACACACAGCAATTGCAATTACAGAATGCCCCAACCGCGGAATACGTCCTCCCCAGTTCCTGCATGTGAGGCGCCACTTCCAATTTTCAAAGCACGTGCTATTCGGCTTATTTCTCGCTCGTTCGAAAATACCTAGGGCCTGTTTTGATAAATGTTGCTGTACGTGCAGTTTGTCAGCTTGCTTTGCTGCTTGCCTTCCTTTTAGTGACCCAAAAGATTCTCTTGCCTGCCTTGCTGTTGCCGATTGTTTACCTAGTGCCTTTGGTTTCTGCACATGTTTGTCGGGGTTTTGTGCCCATGCACCTTTTGGAGACTGTCGCAATTGTTTCCAAAACGTGCAACTCTGCAACGGGAGACATGACCAGCATCCGCACAAAGCCCAGACATGACCAGAGACGGTTGCATGGATTGAAAAAGGGGAGTATATGAAGAGTAGAGCTCGGTGCCCAACACGCTCTTAAACTGCTTGATGCCAATCACATTCAGAAGCCCGTGCATGTAGTCGAAGAACTCCTGATGTGAGAAGAGCTGCGCTGCTGTGGGCCCAATGGATCCGAAACCGGCCTCTCGATCGAGCCGGTGGTTGTGGTCTCGGTCCGCTTGACGGAAGAGCCTCTGTGCCTTTCCGAAGCAAGATCGACGAAGCTTTCAGCAGTGTCAGCTTCCGCAAGCAGCTGTGCCTCCTCGCTCGACAAGACCTATCGAACGAAGAGCTTCGAGTGTCGACTGACTGAAGCTACTGGCAAAGGCAAAGGACTAGGCTGCCTCGGCACGTCCCAAGGATTCTGCTGCGATTTCATGCACCTTCACCACTGTGCTTAGGGAACGGTGAACACTGAAGTAGGTTACAACTGTTCGGCATAGCCCAAGCTGAGATGGGCTGAGCAGGAGGCCCGGCCGTGATGATCCAGGAACTCTTTGAACTGAATCGTTCCACTGCCGTCGACCTCAGATTGGACAACCACCGCTGCGCCATCGCAGCGTAGAGGAACAATTTGCAAACTGCAGACGTCTGCCAGAAAGAAGAGCTGGTTGACCAATTCTTGAAGCCTTGCTCGTGCATGGGCGTGACACATGCCGGGCCAAGTTTATTCCCAAGTGCTGGGCTCTGCTTCAGTTTCCGGCTTTGCCCCAGTGTTGCCTGTCCGTTTGCAGCATTGCATGGGGGCGGAAACTCCACGGTCCCGAGCACGTGCCTGTCAGCGTCCTGGCTGTCACGGCTACCAAGTGTCATGTCGAGTAGATCCAATCGATCTGCGGCCCCGACCTTTCCAGACTCGGAAGTGGTCCTGTGAAGCGTTGTCTTCACTTCTCACTCTGGTCTGCAAGAACCCCGCCCGCTGCTGCCGACCCGTCATGTAACCAAGCAATAAGCCTTGCCCAACTGAGACTGCATTTGCACGGATCCGGAAGCATTGCGCAAGAGTATCCGTTCGGTCCAAGGTGAATGCGAATGGGTGCTGGCACGTTCTCTGTTTCAGGGATCACTGGTACGAGCATGCGCACTCGTTAATGACTCGCTGCACAAGGAGTACGAATCAGCTAGCTACCTTGGCCAGCATCACGCTGCACCAGGCCGTCCGCTGGGGACATGGCTCAGCAATGCGCCTGAGACGAGAGCAGTCTGCACATGCAAAATCGTGGAACGTCTCAGGAGCTGAGAAACAGACTGTCCAGCCCTAGGCATGCAAGCGGCGGAAACACATTACTTGCGCTCGAAGGCGACAAGTACACGCTCCTACATGCTCATTGATGCTGAACCATTGACCATTCTGCAAAGACTGTGAAGTGGAAAGATGGTGCTGAGATCTGCTGCATAACATGCTCGGTGAGACGAGTCCACGTCATGTGAAACGGCTGATGGTTGGCACGGTGTCAGCCCAAACTCAAGACCGCTTGCATCGCCAAGTCTGCAGCTGTGTTCGGCCCTGTCCCGGCCTCTACAGCCACATTCCCGTCTCCTCGTTCTCATGCCGTGGTCCCCGGCAAAACGAATCAAAGGACGCGGCAGTGCCACGAGACTTGTTTACCAAGTGGCGTCCAATACCATGCAGGCGCGGTGCAGATATCGACCTCTATGAAGACTCAGGCAATCACTGGGTGATCATCAGGGCAGAGTGCAAGAGAAACTCATAATACAAGTATCAACTAGTAACTTGTCTCAGATGCTGGCTTCTTCATTCCAGTCTTCTTCAAAGCACTGAGGGGTCGCGAACGAAGCTGCGGCATGCTGCAATCACCACCTCATCCGTACTGCTTCTCAAAATCCGAATCATTCCAAAGCTGAAGGCAAGGCGATTCCCTGCAAAGCTTCATAGACAGTTCCCAGTTCCCCAACTAAGGCTGACTTCCAAGCTTCTCCAGCAGGAGAACCTGGCAAACTCGGACCGGCGACAGTCGCAGGAAGCGAGACTGCATGAGCTCAGCTGCCTCCGCCCTCTTGAACTCAACTGCACCGCGGTACACGGCCCAGAAATGTGGTTCAGCCTCAATGCAGACAGGGCGAAACCACATTTGATGGCCATCAGAGCATCGACAACAGGTCCTGCTCGTTGACGTTGCATGTCGACTGTTCGGGTTCGGGTTCGGCAGATGTCGGAATAAGGCTTGGGGATGCTTGTGAATCGCAACTGCGGAAACCGTACTGGCAACGCCGGTGCAGTGCCGTTAAGGATGCTGCAATCTTGCCTTGCACCAGGAAGGTGTGGCCTTGCCCGATTGGGTATGACAAGGTTATGACGGCACTTACGGATAAGACCGGGACCCCGTGGGAACTTCGCATGCTTGAAAATGTAGGCAGCATGAGGCTTTCCCCCAGGTTTCGGCACAGGTACCTGCGCAAGGGCAGCCCTGTCACCAGCAGAGCATGAACATGCAATCTCCAACGCCTCTTTCATGCCTGGCAGATGCCGCATAAGGAACCTGCTCGCAATCTCAGTTTGGCTGCGAAAATCGGCAACTGCTTGCCTCAACTTCTCATCACCCTTCTTGACCATCTCCTTGCCACAGGGATCTCGCGATTTTCAACGCAGGTCGATTGACGGGATGTTCTTCAGCGAGCGTCCCATGCTACCCACAGCTTCTATACGAAGTAAGACGGGGTAGATGATGCCGAGATGTGGTTACTAAAGCTGGCCCTCTCCTCTTTCAGGACATTGTCGAAGTCATGCCTAGAAGATGCAGCTGGGCATGACTTAGCTCGCAACAGGCTGTCAGGCCCGCTCCGTCTGATGACGAAAACCTCCGTGTCCTCCAGACACTTTGCAGACGCCAGCCGTGGCCTCGAGGAAAATAACTTGCGCGCTTCCCGCATCTTGTTGCTTCAGTTCATGAAGTTCTGCTATCACTCCACTGTCAATGTCATTGACGCTGTCATTATGCTTGCGCAGTGGTTGTAGCTGTGGATGTGGTGGTGCTCCTTTTCGGCGTTGTGCTTTCCATGACCAAATGTTTTGCTTGGCAGTACCACAATCGTCCTCAATGTAAAGGACCGTGAGTATTGCTATTCCTGCTATGAGTACTATGATCAGCCGTGGATTGGCTTTCGTGATGTGTACGTATTGCGAAACCCGGCGAAGCTTTAGTGAGATGTGCTACATATGTTTCTCATTGATGCTGTTTTCGTTGATACTGTCGGCATCAACATTGTTACTGTTCTTGTTTTATGATGGGGGGTGCCATAGAGGATTGACTCGATTTTACATCTTTGCTGCTCTTTGCTGCTTTGCTTTTGTTTGCATTGCATCTGCATCTGTGTACCTGCTACCAGAAAGCTTTTGGAGTGCCCTTTGGATCACTATGCTTGACGTAGTTTACTTGCCGGCCTGGAGTTTACTAAACCCCGGCTCTCTGCTCAAACAGGAATGTTTGGCGAACCCCCGCTCTCGCTCGAAAATGGGTCCCCTTTCTTGGCAGGGAGGTTTACTAAACCCCATTCTCGGCTCGAAAAGAATTTGGCCAACCCAGATCTCGGCTCGAAAAGGAGGGTTTGCTAACACCGACGGAGTCAAGTTTGGACCCGGGTTGCCACATCCATCGTACTGAATAGTATTGCCTCCGCCCCTCCACATCGTCTTGATGACATGCCCTAAAAAGTAATTGTTCCACGAAAACTATTCCGAGACGTGAACCCCCATTATGGCATAATGGTTTAAAGGCTTAGCTTTGAGGCTAGGGTCATGCTTCATGCAGCTGGCTGAGTTTGGACAATGATTTTTGCGGCGGGTCCTTTGTATGTGTGTCTTGCCTGTCCTGGTAAAACTCGAACTTTGGCACCACTTGTGTCGGTAAATACAGCAATTCGTGCTTGTCCTGCTCACTGTTAAACTTTGTCGAACACCACACTGTTTTTTAGGTTGTCTCTGGAACGGTCGCACGAACCTCGGAATCTCGAGCCTCACTGGCTCTCTAAAAAAAGCTTATAACTTCTAACACCGAAGCGAGCATCAAACAAGAAGGAGATGATGCAAGAATGGACATCCGCAATCCTCGACAGGCACTGCAGTCGCATCGCCCACGCACCCGAAAACGTGCTCCCCGGCCTCTCTCGCCCGCACACCCGATATCGCGCTCACCGCCTTGTCCCGCACGTCCACGCCTCCTCCGCACTCCGCCACCCCTTGTAACCTCCTCCAACTCAAAGGCAACTCGCACTGCCGGCGCACCCGACATCGCGCTCCACACCTAAAGTCCAAACCTCACCCGCGCACCGTCCGCGCACCCGATATTGCGCTCTACCATGCTCCATTCCTTTTCCAAGGCTCCCCAGTTCACCCGCTCCCACCCTTCAGAATCAAGCATCACGTTCGTTCCTGTATAGATGCTGTACATGGTTGCCGACATCTTCTTGAACTTTTCAGGGGCCCGTTAGTGTGTTTGCAGAGCGGTTTCTCGCTTCATCTACTTGGCACCCCAACTTTTCGGTCCCGCCAGCAAGTTGTGGGAATGCAGACAGGTTTTTGAGGTGAAGGTTTGCTGATTGCTTCAAGACCTGGAAACAGAGTTCAAGCAGAGAGTCTGCAGCAGCTTGACATTACTTAGTACAACATCTCATTACATCTTGTTCAGCATCCTAACCCTTTGACAGAGATCGCGACTGATCGTTCATCAGCGCGAGTTCGCCGACGACGCTGCCGGGCCTACAACATCCATTGCAATCGTCACGAAACATACAGGTTCAGGCTGTAGCAAAGTGCAAAACATGAAACTGTTCCACAGGGCATGACTTCAGAAGCAGAGTGGATTGCTCAAGAGCTAGATATCCTGGAGCCAAAAGCTTTGCTGGGCAAGGGACCCAAGCTTGGAGACGCGGTTTCCCAGGTTTGTGTCATCGTGGTATCGGCTAAACCTGGTCCACTTAGGAGCATGAGGGCAGCTTCGGTTCACTGCAAAGCCAGGGCACCCATCCACCGTCTTCTGGCCAGGAAGAAAGCTTTGCCTTATCGAAGCAGCGGAACAACACTTGAAACGAAACAACTGTGAACATTGCAGGTCTGTCAGCACAAGACATGAAGTCGGTCTCTGTCGCCAATCGGGCCGTACCCTGGCCACAACAATTCTGCGCGATCGGTTCGTTGAGAAACATGAGAAACGCTTTTTTTGCCTCATTCGAGTTGTTTAGAACCTATTACGTGCCCGGGCGTGCTTCGCTATTTCAGCCGGCTGCGTCATCGGTGTCGAATTATGCGTCCGATGTCGAAACCTGCTCAAAAAAGCACATCGTGGCCTGTGCAGGATGAGGCGGCATTTCTTCGTCGGACCTAGGTTCCAGGGAAAAAGAGCAGGCCAAGAGGGACAAAGCAGAGCGAGGGAAGGTGACATGCAGGCCAAGGTGGCTAGCCAACTTGCTTCATGCAAATGAATCTAAACATTCATCGGATGTTACTTGTGTTGACAGCCAAATCCGCCACCCCTTACAAACCTGCGTGCTCCTTGACCAGATGCATGGTTCGAACCAATAATTAATCGAGTGATGCTTGGTGCCCAATTGAACATGATTGGCCTCAGTCCACGCAGATGTAGGACCAAGGAAAAACAACGACATCAGCATTGCCATTTCGCATAAACAAGATCTGCACGCCAAAACAAACAGCAGGCGTGCAATGCGGTGCCGACATCGGCTCCCGCATGCTCCCGGTTTTGTACCAGCACCATGAGTAGTATTGTGGCAGTCTCAGCCTCTGGCAGTGCAAAGACACCCACGGCTCCACCGATGACAACCTCAAGCTCGTTTTTGTTGATGGAATTTGCATAGGGGTGGTTTCCTGTGTTGAATTCTGCTTCACATTCAAACGCGCGGACACAAACAGGCAAACAAACAAACAAACAAACAAACAAACAAACAAACAAACACACACACACACACTTTGGCTTGGCACGAATGACTGCGGTGAGCGACCGACGGGAGAAGACGACGACAGATTGCAGCAACCGTACAAGGGGCAAACTTCCCCTTGGTACTTCATCGTCTTTTGTGCTACAGCACCAGCAGCTTCTCGCAAGTACGTGAAAAGGTGGAGGGCCGGGGGACTTAGGAACTAGTTATTTTTTAGACTTCTAAGTACCCTAATCCCAAGTAGGGTCCCTTTAGGGTAGTTAAAACTCTACTGAATATCTACTTTCTAAGTCCTCTGTCCCTCCAAGCAACCTAGACCCTCAACCCAAGACTGGGGTTTAAGGAGTTTTTGGGCCTTTATATGGACTCTGTTTGCGTCGTGAGGGTGCTCATATACGCGCCGTAATGGTCAGACTAGTTTTGGGGTGTATACCATACCATATAGGGGCTGTATGGAGATTTTGTTTGTGATTATTCTGACCTCTATTACTCTCTTCATCGCTTTATAGGGAGTGGTTGAATCTTTACGAGGTCAGGGTTGTACACTCTCCTTTTGGCTTGAGGAGTTTATGTTTATGGGTCTTTATAAGATCATTCGTCTTTTCTTCATGTCACAGCAAATCTAGACGGTGTCCCTGCTCGTTTGGAGAAAATCTTTAACCTTCGGCTAGCTAATCTCCATGCAGCCGTAAGACTACCAGGCGCCTATCTTACGGGCTCTCGTCGAGAGCTCGAAGCTCTTGGCTCCTCGGTCCTTGTCCTCACGCCAAGCTCTTTGAAGGAGCCAGTCAGTCGCGTGGGCGAGGAGGCAACCAAGGACCCGCCACTGTAGCGCTTCCCCATCCAAGTCGAGCCTGAAATTTGAATCGAACTTGACAAAGTTCTCGTTGGTGAGATCGCATAAACTACCTAGTTGTTTGGACCAGAATGTTTAATTAAACTGTTTAAACCTTTAAACACCGTCGTCAAAACCTTCCAATCGTTAAACCCCCTTAACAGAGTTCTCAAGCCCTACATGCCCAAAAGAAACAAAGCCTAGGACTACACGATTAGCTCCGGAATAGTTGAAGCAACGGCACTAACCCCTATGTAGCGCCTCCCAAAAGATGAGTCGGAAGCTCGCTGCATGCTCTCAGAGCGTTTAAACGCACGGCGTTTAAACATGTTCCTCCCAAAACCTGATGTTTAAACCGTGCGGGAGACTCCCATGCTGGCCTCAGAGCGTTTAAACTTGAAACGTGTTTAAACGCTCGGCATTTAAACATGTTGAAACCGTGCGGGCTACTCCCAGGGCCTCCCAAAACCTGAATCGGAAACTCGCTGCATGCTGTCAGAGCGTTCAAACGTGTTTAAGCGCACGGCGTTAAAACATGTTTAAACCGTGGCGTCTGGGTCGCTCCCCCAGTCGGGTGGACTATCTTCAGTGCTCTCCTTTGTCACACGGTCGGCGGTGGTTTTCCCATCTCGGCTTGTCGTCTGCGGTGTTGAGCCACGCTGTTGTGCGGTCTCCTTTTCGCCCTGCTGGCTTGCAGGATAAGGTTCTGTCCTCGGCACCGAGTTGGGTATAGTAGGGTCCCTCACATGCCTGAGCGTCCTCAGGCATCTCCCCCTTACTCACACAGCTTCGTTGGGCATGGTGGTGAGTAAAGGCCATGCCCCCCTGCTTCCCCAGGCGTTTACACACACACGCACACACAAACAAACAATCAATCCAACCAACGGACGTACAAACAAACAAACAAACAAACAAACAAACAAACCAAAAACACACACGCACACACACACACACTCACACCAAACAATTAGACTAATTAGACTAACATGCCTGATCAAGCTTACCCGAAAACCTCTGACCGTGCAACTGGCAGATCCATGCTGTGGCTCGGGCATAGCAGCTGCCCGGTGGATCGCCCTGCTTGAACAGCACGGTCCCGGCCTGAGCCATTTAAAGAGCTTCAACATTGAAAGCCGGCCGTTCGCTTAGTCAGTGGCCTGGCAAAAAATGGATGTCAGGATCTCAGGAATCATCTGCATGACCGCAGGGTCCAAATCCTTCACAGACGCACACGACACAACACCCGAACTTGCGTGCATCGTCACCTTGCACAACGCCTGCCTTAAACAACTTCAGCGACGAGAGGGTTTTGGAGATACTGTCCTTGGTTGTTCCCAACAGAGTACGTAGAGCATCAAACGAGGGCTGCACTTTGGCGCATATATGCTGCATGTTCACGCAATGCTTCTTCCTGCGAAAGCCTGCTTTAGGTTCCACACTTTCGACATCTCCATTGCCGTAGGGGTCACCGAGACGCGGCGAACCAAACCTCCAAGCACAGGATCTTGCAGCCTTGCAGCCTGCGTGAACTTCAATCGGAACCAGCCTCCATCTGGCGGGTCAAGCCTCAACGGCACAGGGCTGGTCAGACAAGTTTTATCACAACAAAGATCGTGTAATGGGTGCCCTGCACTGATTGGCGCGAAGCCTGCAAAAAGCTTCTGCGATGATGTGCAAAAGGCCTGCAAGTTCGATTTTCCAAGGTGAAGGCACCACGGGCGCCACCAAAGCCACCCTGGCAAACGCAGGACCCGCGTTAAGCTGAGGCAATGTGCTTTGGCTCAGACAGCTTGGGGCGGTCCTCAATGGGAGGCAAAACGGAGCGTCTTCCTGGAAGCGCGGCCGTGCTGCCTTCAAGGCACCCCAACATGCTATGGTCTATGGTGTCTACGCACTGTGCCAACACGCAACGCATCACATTGGCACCTCTGTAAGCAGAAGCAGCCTGCAGCAATGACATCAATGCACTCGTTGGTGATTTCGTCTCACAGGACCGAATTCCTGCCTGACCCCTTGGAACTGAAGGTAAGCTCATCATCTTCAGCTGAGGTCCTCGCCAGCGAGAGCGACTTACGAGTTACAATGAAGCGCGGTCACAGCCATCACTCCAGCTACACATGTAACACTGCACTGAATTCACTGGCAAAACTGGCAGTCCTTTTCAATGCTGCACAACGTGCACTGAAGACGCTTCCGCTCATGTTTGTTTTAAAACTTTAATGGACTATTGACTATTGCTGCTGTTGAGCACAAGGTGGTGCGAACCTTGTAGCATGCCGTATATTCTGTGGACTGCATACAAAAAATGCACGGAAGACAGCATAATGTCACAGAGAACTCCTTGGCGGCTACGTTGCACCATTCCACACAATGGTGAGCAATGTGCATCCGAATCTCTCGATTTCTGGAGCCGAGGATCGCAGCAAGGTCAGCAGATTGCTGGCAGATTATCATTGCTTTGCAACGGCATCCCGGCCAGCTTCGATCTCCCTCAGCTTTCCAAAACTATGGAAGTATGATGCTCTGTGGAGAAGGAAGGGCATTCCTCTCAGCGGCCAGCAGATGTCAGTCGATTGTACGAGAGCACCCCCTTTACCGCGAGAGCTGCTGTAAGCAAACCTTTGCCACCTTGCTGGTTCGCTTTGACAAGTGTGCTGCTCTCTTTCTGTGGCATTGTGGTGACTATTGTGGTGCTGAAATCTTCCAAAGGATATTCTCAGGCTGCTAGCTGTCGGAGTCCCTGTGTCAAGCGGTCTCGAAACACTCCACGACACGAGGCAGCCATGTGGCAGGTTGACTAATGTACGCAGCTTCGTCAACCGAAACATGGTAAAACTGATCTCCCTGGGAATACGTACTTTTTCACATGATTATCATTGATTATCCACTGCTGTGAGGGATTGCACTGCATTGCTTGCGATGCCTGGCGAGACTAGTCCGAACAACGGCGGTCATATCGGCGCAGTGAATACGACAAGTATTCAGCAGCCCACTCCCGAGGTTCACATGCAGAGCTTCGATGTTGAGCGCGCAGCCGCGATCCACGAACCAAGGCTTGTTTGTCGACGCTTCCCAGGCCGGGTTCTAAAATAAACATCCCGGGTGTGGACGCCGACTGGTGTGTTTAGGCTCCTCACAACAGTAGGTGGCAACCCTACCCTCAGAACACATCCAAGAAGGGTCGACATAAAGTCGTAAAGTACGCGTGGCAACAAGGCGACACCCAGTTCCTGAACATCCAGCATGAGGTCTTTAAGATGACAGCGAAGCAGGTGCGAAACATGCTCTCTCCACGAATTTAGCGTCCATGGTCTTCTGCGTGCTGGATGCTGCGTGCATATCGATTCATGTTTTGTTCGCCGGAATGTGCCGCGGAATTGGGGGATGGGGGTCTTCCACATGACAGATGGACGGGCACATGCTTGCAATATGCCAGCACAAGACTAAGTAGAGGCTACACAAGCTTCAGAAATCCTTCCCCTGGAGCTCACGGGTCGAGTGCATCTGCTGTTGCGCAGCACGGCCTAATGAAGATTAACGAAGGACCTCGTAGCACAAAAGCAACGATAGGACGGGGACCAGGACGACGACGACGACGACGACGACGACGACGACGACACCCACCACCACCGGCACCACCACGACCACTACCACTTTCACTGTCACCACACCCACCACCACTACCACTACCCCTACCACTGAGATTACCACGCAAACTTGCAATCTTGGTCTCGCTGACTAGTTAACTTTTTGGACCAAGATTGCAAGGCAAGAAGGCAATCTTGCAATCTTGGTCTCTAAAATGAAAACTAGTCGGTGGGCAAAAGGGGGCAAGTGGGGCAAAGGGCGGGGAGGGAGCAAGATTGCAAGCAATATTGCAATCTTGGTCTCTAAAAGGTAAACTAGTCGGTGAGCACATGGGGCAAGTGGGGCAAATGGGGGGAGGGAGCAAGATTGCAAGCAATCTTGCAATCATATCGGCGAGCAAGTGGGGCAGGGGCAAGATGACCAAGATTGCTTGGCAATCTTGATGCCCCCCTGACCAAGATGCCCAAGATTGCCAAGACAGTCCGGCAAAATAGTTGTTTAAAAAATCCTGAAACAATGTACCAGCACCACTACCACTACCCCCACTGCTAGAACCACTATCACTACCGATGGAACTACAAATACCAGCACAACTATCAAGATTACCCTTACGACAGCGACGATACTAGCATGACAACTCTGCGCCGACATGTCAGCAAACGAAATCCGGTGTACGAGTTTTCCAAAGCAGACTACCGCCTCGCCACACACGCCTGTTTTTCTTCGCAAAGTCAAGTGCGATGCGGCCAGAACAAGTACCTGCAAGCCATGCTGACCCAGCTGTCTGTGTGCTGTGCTTCGCTCCCAAGAATACAACCAAGACACAAAGCCGCTGATGGCTGCAAAGGGCCTCCAAAAGCGCAGCAGCGCAACGGCGTCCACCACAAGCAGTCCGCATACTCAGACATTCCTACTGCCGGAGGATTATCACCGCCCTCGTAGATTCTGCTATTCGTGGTCTCCTGGGTCTGTGGTGCTTTCGTTGGGCGGTGCTCCTCCTTTCATGTTGCGTGACACTGCTTGCCCTATCTTGCCCTCTGATGTGTGGATCATTGTAGATCTGTGGGACGACATTACATGCCCGTCAGTCGAGAGATTTGGCGTGTGAAGATGGGACCGGCTTGTTCGGTGAAATCGTCGAGGTTTGGCTGCAGTCTGCAATGCTGCTGCAGATGCAAGGCACAGTCTGGCCAAGTGCACTGCCGAATGGTGCCAATCTCCAGCAGCTCACTTTTTGAGGTCCAAAATGCTTTCTGCAAGGATCTTTACAAGTGATACTTTCTGTATCTTCGCCTCCGCCTCTGCGTGGAGCTCGGCTCGATAATCTCTTTCATGCCGCAGTTTTCATTTCGCAGACTCGCCTCCAAAATGTCGTATAGCATCGTAAATCACGGTGCCGTGATATCCTGCAAGACGTCTATCTAAATCGTGGAAATTCAGTGTATTACGGTGTGTAGATCGGAGCAGCACAGCACGACCTCGCAACGCACTCTTCGTATGGAATGTTGAAAAGTCTGAGCAAAGCCAACGAATGCACGCTGCATGCTTTCACGAGGCCTGCTTTGTGAGGCTTGAATCATTGACTTGCCGAAAGCTACGAGATCTGTCCTAAGCGCGCTGCCCGATGATCTGTGGCTGGTAACCACTTCAAAGACTTCAACGGTTTCTGAGAGGCCCGCAGTTTCGTCACCCGAAGTCGTTGCAAACCTGGGAATGAAGATGGTGTGGTTCCCATCTTGAATACCATGCAGCAGACCATGGCAGCTGGTTCGCTGGTTCATGACTTGACCTGTAAGCAATGAGCTGCTTGTGGAACGTGCCCACCATATCCAACCACTTTCTGCAAGCACAAAGAAGATGATCTTCATGCAAACCCAAAACCGGCATGACTGCTCTGGGCCATCGTGTCATTTCAAGTCCTTGCGGAAGTTCTCCACGATGTTGCTTTTGTCAACAGACCTGTCAAGGCTTTCGGCGCAAGCAGCGAACTCATTGAATGACTGGCATGCCTGATTTGGACCCTCGCTACGCGGAGCTGCTGCTCACCTTCCGACTCAAAATGGCAACCGTAGTTTGGAGGATGAGACTGGTAAGCCGCTGGCTGAAGCCCGGACAGCTAGGAGTCACACCCTGGTAGCCAGGGATGTGCAAGGTACCTGGCTCGAACGCTTCTCCACGCGAAACTTTGTCCTTGTGCAAAGGCTTGCCTTTTGTGGTCCCAGCATTTAGGTCGGTCTTGAACCTCAGACTGCAACAGTACATAAATCCTGCTGTGCACCCTGCATTCAGGGCATGATGGCGGGGCACCGCATTCCATGAGATGAGCATCGAAGACGGTGGTAAAGAGCTCATGATGACTGTCATGCTTGCGACGCGTTTTTCTCGCTGCACAGTCGCAACACTACAGATCTTGCAGGTGCTTGAGTTCCACATGTCTTAACCTCTAACAGCTGATGCGTCTCTTCTGGTCATGGTCAATTACCTCCCGCTTTGTTTGCAAAACCCATGATTATGTCCAGTCTCAAGCGATCACTCTCGGGCCGCGCATCCATTTGGGTGGGGTTCAGAGTCCAGAGTTCAGGGGCAGTGTTGACTTGTCATTCCCGGGCCTGTTGCGGCAGCTAGAGTCAGCTAGAGTTGCCGATGTCGACCCTAAGACGAATTCGCAGCTGAGCAGCACCGGCATTTTGTCCTCCCACGGAGAGATTTTCTCCCGTGGATTCGAGCCATGCCTTGCAGGGCTTGCAGGGCTTGCGGGGCTTGCGGGGCTTGCGGGGCTTGCGGGGCCGGCCACTCCCAAGCGCAAGGGAAGGACTGCCTGGCCTTCCAAAGTCTGCCGTGTGACCTGCGGAAGCTACATGTCACAGTTTGACAGTTTGGGCAACATGAGAACAAGCTGCAACTGAGTGGCTGCTGTGGTTGAGCACTTTGCTCACACAACTGCGTGGTGCTGGGACCACTCGGCCTTCGCGAACTCATCCCAAGGAAAGCACGTAAATGAGATTAACAGAGTGCAGAATGCACACGAGCCCAAGTGCGCCACTGGCCAAGATCTGTTGCGCCGTCAGTTGTGGGGTGGGCCTTCCTCAGACTTCACAGCTGTGACACTTGGCGCATGGTTCCACGGCATTGCTACAAAGCAGAGTTGCGTCTATGTGAACAGCCAGGAGACTGTGGCATGAACAAACACACGCATCTCGAATTGACTCCATCTATGAGCAGGCTCTGCCAAAATCTCCCAAGTGAGGTTGCTGCTCGACATGCCTTCGGCGGAGGCAGACCGATACTCGGAGGACCAGTGTGCCCCCGAGCCTGAGAATGGCGCATGGGGCAGCTTCTATCAGGTGGGAAGTCCGCATGTATATATCATCCAAGCAGAGGAAGCATCTGCAAAAACTGTGTCATCTGCCTCTTTCTGCTTCATGGGCAGTCTGCAGGTTGTCTTCGCTGGTCCTGCATTGGTGCTTGCTGGTGGCACAACACTATGCCAACGTCAGCCCCGGATGTGCACTTTGGCTGGTCCTGCTTTCTCGTGACACCTTGTAGTCCTGCATAGAACACACCCGAGATACAGCATATATCTGTAGCTGTGAGACAGTTGACGGTGCCTCAGGACGGGTCGACCTGCACTGTTGCCTCTCATATTCTGACTCTTTTTGAGTATCCTGCAAGGTCCAGAGATCTGCTCGCGGGAACTCATGAAGCACAGGCACTCACTCCTGCAGCAGTTTGGGTTGCTGCCGTAAGGTGTCTTTGTGGGCCACTTCCGACGTGTAAAGACCAGACGGATGCCTCGGCACAAACGCTTGCATCAAGCCTCCTAAAGCTTGCTATCTGTGCCATCCTGTATCGTTCTTCGAATGAGTCCAGCAGACGGGTCGCTAAGTCCCACACAGTTTTGTTTGGCAAGGCTTTAGGCAAGGCGGCGAAACTTCCTTTCGGGAGGCTTGAGTGCTGATGACGTGTGAACATGTGTGAACACACTGTTGCCGTGAAATCTGGACAGTGGCAGTGTGCTTTGAAGTAGTTGGGGCCACCTAGCAAGCCTGTAGTCAAATTCCTGTTGCCATTTCCTGCCACAGACCACTCGCTGGTACTGGCTCAGGCATTGGAAACAGGGAGTTCGCTGTGCCGACTGACCATGTGCATCAAACATTTCTGAACTCTTCTGTTTGTCGGGACATGGCTTCAGCAGGATCGGCCGAGCTTAAACAATTCAGCGGAGGAAACAAGCTGGTTCTTGCGTCGAACCTTTTTCATGGCGAGCTATGCAACTTCGAAGACGGGAGTTAGCAAACAAAGAAGGACATCGTCGGACACCGGTCTGTACAACCGGAAACGAATGCTGAGGATTTTCTCAGGAGGTGGAGGACGAAAACCGTGGAACGCAAAGAGTCCCTGAATCTGTGAAGGTAGGCGGGCTGCACAATTTGAAGTCAAGAGTGGCAGGCTGGCTGGCTGGCTGACTGACTGAGCAACTCAGCCACCATGTACAAGGATGGTTCCCCTGACTGAGTGAAACTGAGACTGATGGTGTCCCAACCACTGCGGGCCTGCAAGGGTGTGTACAAGCAATGCTGCACGGCCCTTTTTGGGACATGCGACATCACCTCAGCTCAGGCATGTAAGTGAAAATGAAAGCTCACAGCTGCTTAGTCCATGTTCTCGACTTCGCTACCCGCTGTGGACAAAGCCACTCTCGCTAAACTCGCCAGCTCTATGAAGCTGTGCACAGACTCCACACACACACACACACTAATCGCGCCCTTCATCCGAAGTAGCCGGTGAGCACCATTATGGAATGCTCACCGGCTGGGACACACTTCACAGTTTATTGAAGCTTTCGCAGTCCATCTCACGGCACCCAGAACTTGAGTTTCTAGGTCGCCGACTCGCCCATCCTCGCCCCACAGATCCCGCTAAAACAGCTGAAAGAATGAGGGCCGAGGCGGCGAGCGAGAGCAGCGAGAGTGGATGACGTGCTTTGTTTGCCCTGTCGCCTGTGTTGCAGCAAAATTCAGGCCAGAGGTGCAAGATGGTGCAAGGTGCTCTTCACTGCGCAGTTCCCGCTGCATTAGCTCCTCCCTCCTTCGGAGAAAGGACCGGGTCGTGAGACGAGGTGAATCCGGGAAACTTGGGCACAGGAAGCAACATGCTCTCAGTCACCGTCAGTCGAATGCCCTCAAGTCAGGAACCTGCCGAAGCTCGTCCATCGAAGTGATGGCTATGGTAATTGCACGAAGCCTTTGCGAGCCTTGAAGCTTCGGCTCATCATGGAGCGGTTGCCAGGCTGTACCCGCCCAATCTTCACAGAACTCACAGCTGAAAAGCTTGTTGGCTCGCAGAACAAGTGCTAGCCGAACCTCGTTCGTGACATTATCCGGCACGTGGCCCGCATAATGGAGAGTGTTGACATGAAACCTCATCTTGGCATGTGTCGGACAGCATGTCACAAGTCATGTCACCGTTGGGGGCCGACTGCTGAGTAATGTTGGACTTGTCGCTGGTTCTGATTGTGGCGCCGCTTTCCACGCGAGCTGCATAGGGATTCCTCGCAGGGCGTAAGCTCAGTCTCTGGCGACATGTCTCACCTACACACAGTCTTGCAAGCCTGATATTCGTCGGCAAGAAGCCGTGATACCCAGGGATATGAAGCGTTCCCTGACATGGGATGTAGCTCGCGCCAGACATAAAACTGGGCATCACGGTGCCTTGGGAGTTCCCATCGTCAGGGCTGTTTTTGCAACTGGGATTCTGTCCTGCGAGCAGTAGTGGCCTTCTGCATCACTAACTTTGCAGCCTAGACATGTGTAGCCTAACGATGACTGTCCAGCGCTGGATCAACTTTACTTCGAGGATCCGAGCCGTACAGGCCGAAATCCTCCATGAATGCACCTGAAAGTCGACGAAGCCAGGAAGGCCGGCCCATGGCCCGTCGCTCATTGTCTGAGCTTGCCACTCATCATTCCCCCCCCTCCAATGCAGGTCGGTGGATTTGCTGCCTCGAGGCGGTGGAGCGGTAGCTCCCCAGTGTGCGCTCTCAGACTCGGCCCGGGCCTGGTATGATGGCCCATGCTGTCTGTGATAGACAGCACCAGCCACAGAGTTGTCATCGTGAGAAGTTCTGTACGTGGAGGACCAATGAGCAGCCCCCCTGCCATAATCTGAACAGACACTGTCGGTTCTGAACTGATTCTCATGCAACACAGGGTGCCTGTGCCCAACTGAACTTGCCGGGGGCTCTTTCTGCCGAATGGGTTGGACGGGATTCTGACAGGGAAGGATGCCAGAGCTATCACATAACAGCAGGTAGAAGGTGTCACCTGGTAGTGCTCTGGAGATGTAAGCTGAGACGTTGTCCTGGCCGTGACCCAGTACACCAAAAGGTGTCAAACTCAGATTTTCAAGTTCCGTACTTCTGATACATAGACTCTGGTGGAAGACCATCGCTCAGGTACCTGGATCGAACAGGCTGCTCGCCACGAGCTGAGACTCACGGTGTTTTGTGAAGTCTCCAGAATGTTCGGTACAAGGTTTAGTGGATTGCAATCTCACAAGCCTCAAGAGTCTCGTAACTTAGGAAGTTGGCATATACACCGGCGGCGATTGACTCTAGCCGGTCGCACGTGGTCTTTGGAGCTGGCGCTTCCTCGGAGTAGACCGCTCTCGAGGCCCTCAGGCAGCAGGGTCCTCTGACTAGGTGACTAGATGAACAGTTGCGCGATGAGCTAGGCCGAAGACGACACTTGCCCGGGCTTGAGGGTCGGACGGGGCATCTGCACAGTACACTGATGCACACTGCACGTTACCGCATGCTCAAGATCCGGCTTTCTGTGATGGCCTCCCAAGATGCAAGGTAGCAGGCGTGTTGGGTAGCGCGCTTCGGCACGTGGGACATTGCGGCCCCTGAGCACAAATTGCAGGATGCTCGTTTTTGGCCAGTGGCCACATGGCCAAGTCTGCAGCCAGCACTGACAAGCGCGCCAGCACTGGCCGACCTCTGCACATGTGTCGCTTTGCTAGCCTGCAAAGGTGGGAAGCTGAAACCCGACCTGCCCATTCCCGCCATGGCTTCACCTGACGACTCGTCCAGCTCCAACCAAAAGTTGGACATGCAGCTCTTTCTGACAACACCACAGACCGTCTTATCCTGGTGAAAGCTTGTTAGTGTTCTGAGTGGCCAGAGGCGACCGGGTTTCCTGCACTTATCGCGACTTTTGCATCCCTGAAAGCGGACCGCCTTCCTCCCCTCCAGATGCACTTCAACTTGAGTTCCCATGCATGCTTGGCCCTGCCTCTCCCTGGCTCCCAACCCAACCGAGGGGCGACAACACGAAGCAATGTCAATTGACATAAAATATGAAACTAAGGCTATTTATACGGCATTCTGGGAGTTGTTGCTGTGCAGACGAAGAAGGAACAAAGACTGAGGCACCGGCAGAACTGTGTGGCAAGCTCGAGATCTACTAATGCTCCATGTCGTATCCGTATGCTTTGCTGGCTGAGCCAAACAGCAACAGGCAGCCCCTTCCACGATGTAAAAATCGTGCTGTTCTTCCTGATGACAGAATACCTCAGATTCGCAACTCACACAATTTGATAACTCTAAGTCCTAAGTCCTAAACTGCAAAGCATTCCCACCCGAAGCGAGGCCGGAGGGGCTTTGCAGTGCCTGCAAGTAATGGGAAAGTGTCGCTGCTACATCGGCCGAGGATCCGCTTTAGCATTTTGCGGAAAGATTCTTCGACACCCTAGCAAACCCTTCTGCCAAAGCTGGATCAAAACGGCACTCTGAAAAGAGCAGAGTAGATGGTCTCAATGCCTTGGGCATACCATGAGCCGGGAAAAACATCGATATGAAAGAGATGCAGGATTTGCAGCTCCCAAGTCTCGTCGGGGGAAGCCAGAACTTTGCTCTCAGGGATAGCAACCCCTAGTGATTCCATGCGCCTTGCGCCTCAGAGTTCGATTTGCTGGATTTCCACGCATGTCGTGGGTCTCGTACGTCACGTGCGCACTCGCCGGGAAGACCTGGAGCCAGGCAGCAGATAGCAGGAGTCCAACTTGGCGCTTGTCGCTTAGGCTGCTGTGCAACCGACGTTGTTGTGCAAGACTCCTCTAGTCTCGCAGCCGCCGTGGATCAAGTTGTTCCACGTGGCCTGGAGGCACTTCTCTGTATGCTTAGGTAGTAGTAGTAGTAGTAGTAGTAGTAGTAGTAGTAGTAGTAATAGTAGTAGTATAGTAGTAGTAGTAGTAGTAGTAGCAGCAGTAGTAGTTGCAGATAAGTGTCACTTTTAGTAGCACAAGTGGTTGTACAAGTAGTACAAGCAAAAGCACAAGTAGAAGTAAGAGCGGGAAGTAGGAGTAGGACTGGAGTAGGAGTAGGAAGTGGAGGAGTAGTGCCAGACGCATCTAGTTCTCTAATTTGTTTTCTTTGGAGCGCTGGAGTTGGCGCTGGCTTTCCTGCTGCTTGTTCTGGTTATCCCGTTACCAGTAGCAAATTTCTGCAGGACAAGCGTGACCGAGATGTGGTACTAACAGCAATGCAGCTGAGCTTGTCTCGCTGCCGTGCAGAGGACACCCTGCTGTTCTATAAAGTCTAAAGCCCTTTCTCCACCGTCTCTCTTGTGCTCGCACTCTAACCACCCGCTTCCTCTCCTCAACATCCCAAGACCCAACTGTGGATGCGCCTTGTTGATCTCCGCGGCTCTGGCAGGTGGGATGCGGGGCATGACCTTCCACTTGTCTGGTGCACTACACTCTCTGCAGGACTCGGATATCTTTGTGACGTTACAGTGTGGCGAACCCAACAGCGGGTTGCGTTGGGCTTCGGGATGACAAGTGATGAAAACTTGAAACCGCTGTTGAGTCATTGCTGCTGCCGAAGAGAGTCAACGATCGAGAGGCGGAATGAAACAAGGAAGGTACAACGGGTATCGTAAGCAAGCAACTGTCTTGCCGTCTGGGTCCCAGTCCGCGGTGCCAGCATCCTTTCACCGACCAAATTTTCTCGACGCTAGCATCCGTCTGTACAAAGACGAAGTCGTCAGAGAGTGCCCACTTTCAGTGTCACTCCTACTAGTATTCACCTGCTGCAGGAGTCTTGGCATTGGGAGACAGGCATCAGCAAACTGTGGTCTCGCAGGCACGTTTGAGTCATGGATGCAAGGGTGGCTCTCGTTCTCCAGGGGCATGAAAAGCTCCTCGCTTGCGAACGGTTGCACGATAGCACTTCGTGCCCGCACTGCGGCTCTTCCGCACTGACTGTTCGCTTGCCGCAGGGTGTAGAGTCGAAGCGCGCGGTTAGGCCGATAGGTCGTACTGTCAGCACCTGTCGCGTGTACGCAAGTAGTGCAATCTGACTATTTTGCGTCATCCTTTTGCTGCATCCGCAACCGCTTTGTCGACTGTTGGTGTCCTTCTCGTCTACATCTTCTTTTCCCGAAGTGATGCCCCGTGCGGGTCCTTTGCCTCAGCGTTTGAAGTGCTCGACCCCTCGCGCCCAGATATGGACGGTACCCTTGCCGTCTGCAGAGAAGCGTCCCACCGCTCCGGTTGAAATTCTGCTGGGGAGCCAAATTCTGTGACTGTGTGTGAGTTTCATGACATGGCACTGCTGATGGGATCGCCTTCGTTGCAGTCGGTGGACGACTGCTTTCCTCGCAATCACCGCACATGAGATATTCTGACCATCCACCTGCAGCAGTCTAAGCGCTGCACGTGAAGCGTTTCAATGGTCGAGAGCCCTTCTCCTTGTGCGTACCTGTATGACCAACAGCTTAATTAGAAGGCCAAGCATTCAATGCGAGCAGTCACTTGATTGGGGCACGTCTTGGCTCTTACCTTCATTTCGTCACGTTCAATTTTGGACTCAGGACATCTTCGCACCTTGCCAGCATCATCCAGGTGTCACTTGCGTTTGCGACACAAGCGAACTTCGTAAGGCTCTGGCGGGAACCTTCTTCGTTGTCAGAGGCCCTGGAACAGTTCTGTTGCCGATAAACCTGAAGCATCCGAGCAAATTAACCTCCCTGTCAAACAACCGAGAGAAGTCATGGTCAGCTCGCTGCCAGTCCGGGTTGTCGCCGGAGACCGCTGTTATCTGAATATCTTCCTTTTGCAAATCGCGTTCACTGAGCACATTACTGCCATGTCTGCAAGCGACTGCCGAATGCTGAATGGACTGACTGCACTGTCCCGCGTGACTCTACCATCAGGACCGTAACCGATGTGATCTCGAGCCTGACGCGAAAGCACAGCGCACGTGACAAAAGCATCTGCAAACACGTTGCCCGCCTTTTGCATCGTCCAAACCCATGACCTGTGGCTGAGCAACGCGTCACTTCTGATGTCGCGCAATGTCCGCTACTCACACTCAAACATGCCGACTTTCCTTTTTTGCTGTTCCCAAAGCAGAAAGCACCGGAAATTGGAAGGAGATGGCCGGAACCCGAAGGAAGATAGCTAGTTAGCTAGTTTTTGCCGAAAGAAGAAGCACCCAAATGGAAAGGGAAGCTTTGTATTGTACAAAAGCACGGGAATGATTTTGCAGCAGATGCCCACGAAGAGCTATCCCGAGCGTGTTCAAAACTCAGGGCTCCTCGGAAGGGTTTTCGCTCCACTAAGTTCCCTTCATCAAGCCGAAGTTGGCCATAGTCATTCCGGCTTCAACAATGGGTCGGGTTAACAGCGACTCCTCTAGATAGACTCTCTATGCCAGACTTGGAGTCTATTGCAAGCATCATGGCCACCAAATGTCCGTGAAGCAAGCGGGGCGAAGGCTCATACAACTGCAAGCTCAGGTCCCGACCCCTTGTCCATTCCAGCGAGACGTGTTGTCTCTGCCTGTCCTAGAGGATGGTACCAACCTTAATGCCACCAGGCCAGGCTACTAAAGCTCACCGGCAGACGGCCAGATCTAATGCCCTATCAGGCCAGGCCCACAACCGTGCTTCGTGATGTCGTACTTGCTTGAGCCCTGGTATTCTGCAACAGGGCTCCGCAGACGTTATCTTCCAAAACCTTTCTAAATTCCTTGCATTCTGGCACGAGGGGCACCGAACCATGGCAACCAACTACAAGGGCACGCCACAGCACGCAAGTTTACCCACCTACGATCTCCCAAGCTCGGCAGGCGAACAGTCGTATGAGGTCGTAGGTCCAGCCCACCATGGTGCGGGCCTTGGGCTTGGTGCAGCACATACTGTAGATACTGTAGAGTGCATACAACGGTGTCGCCTGAGCGGGTGAGGCAAAGCTCCCGACCCCCGCCAGTGTCACCCAAAGGTGCCGAAGTGCCAGGGCGCAGTGCCGCGGCTACACCGGGCCAAGTGCCTAGCAAGCGCTGCGACCATGACCGTGGCTTTGCCGTTCTTACGGGTGCTGCGAAATCAATACGGGCAGGCCTGTGGTCATCGCGTGGGCAAGTTTGGCATCCTGTCGACGGTGCTCCTGAACAGTTGCCCGTTCTGAAAGTATCTGCTACGTGTACTGCGTGTTACTTGGGCATCAGAAGGCTCCAGCGCCTGAAAGTCTCGGAGGCGCGACTCGAGTACTTTCTGGGTTTCGGCAGCCCACCTACGTATTCTGTCGATGATGTCGACAAACAACATCTTGTCCGACACTTTGCACAGGCATCCACGAAGTTGGTTTGGGACCGGGCCCTGTTGGGGATGTCATCACCATGTTGGGCGCGGATTGAGATCTGGCCAGGTCAACCGCTTGTGGAAGAACACAGTCTCAGGCTCTCAGGGTCGGGTCGAAGGTCCTTAAAAGAGTCCCCGGAAGATGAAGTGTTCCCATTGGGGCGCATCTCTTTCCTCGCAGCATAAGGTTTCGAACCAGCAAAAGGGAAAGAACATCCGAGCAGGGACAGCGGTGTCCTGCTGGCATCAGCGCCACTTCCACTTCATGACTTACCTGAATTTTGGGCACCTCAGGTGACATGACCATATACCAGATTCACGAAACTCTTCGTGCGCTTGCAAGCTGTTCGGCTGTCTAACTGCTCATGCCTTATCCTCTAAGCTGCTGTCCTTGCGGCCCATTCCTTTGATGAGCGCAAAGTGCAAAGCCGTGGCGAAGCACTCCGCCGGGAAGCAATTACGGTTGTAGACAAAACTGTATTCTGCTGATGGAGCAATATGGTCTGTGCAAGCTCTTGCAAATTTGCTGTCGGATTCATGCCTGTGATTTGTTCATTGCTTTGCAGCTCCTTATGCCAAAGGCCTGCTTCACTTTGGCCCTACAGTTCTCGGCTTCCAGCTGAAGTTCACGGACGATGGCGAGCCACATGACCCAAATGTTCTTTTTGCAATGCATGGAAACAGGACAATCACAGCCGGAGGCAAGCTTTTTGCGCTTGCTGAGCATGACCACAGTTGCGACAAGGCAACCTCGAGCAGCCGCGGAACCGGCCCTCGTCACAGCTCAACCTCGTCACCACCTGGCCACAAGTGCTCGAAGCGTCTCAACGCTTCGGATGCTCTTTTGGCAAGCCACGAAACTCGAGAATAAACACCTACCAACCTTCGTCTTCTTCATCTTGGTCGCCGTCCTCCTCAGCTTCCACCTCCTCCACAGCCTGCAGATTACGCAGATTCAACACGTGGCTGCCATCGCGCCGAGCATGGTGACCACTCACCACTGACTCGGCACTTGGGAATCTCTCGTCGTGTTGCCCACTCTTTTCGAAGCGCTGAATGTCAAGACCACGGCACTGGGGGCTGAGGTACTTTGGGACGCCTCAGAGACCGGTGCTGCTGTGGCTGCGAGCTACCTTCAGCATTGACCACTCTGACTGCTGACCCGCGGCCCAGCCGAACAAAACCCGTACAAGACCGAACCCTCAGACATGGTTTTCGGGTGTTCATGTCCCAGAATGCCCCAAGGAGGATTCGGTTTACATCTCAACCTGCTCTGGTCGTGCTGCAGAAGTAAAGGCTGAATCCACCCAAAGTGTGAGGTTGAAACGTGTTCCGAACCGCCTCGAAAAGTGGCTCCTCGTCCTGCAAACTGTCTCTGGACCCCACTTGGTCAACTTTGCCTTTCCTGCAAACTGCGCAGCAACATGACACGGACCACACACGATGCTATCTGCACGAGACTATCGTCACATGGGCAGAATCCGCATGCCTGTGGTGGGGAGGTGCTGGCTGCTGGGATGGCTTTGGACGAGGTGCCGGTGCCGAGGTTGCAGTCACCTCATACGAAGGTCATTGAGAGCAGAGCGGACGAAAGCTATCGAGCAGATGCTGGTAAGCGCATGTGATTGATGCAGTGCTCCTTCTATGTTGTCCTGCATGTCCTGCGAAATGGCTGATAAAACTCATAAACCTAAGCCTGCGCTAAACAACGCATGGCAACGTTCGTTCCTCAATGCAAGAAACAATGACAGCTTTAGAAAGTATGTATACCCTATGGTGCTTACTTGTGTTTTTTCTCTATCTATGTTTTGTTTCATTCTTGTCCGTTTTCCGATATTGAATTTCATATTTCGTTCCGTCATTGCCCAGTAGGTTTCTAGATATTTATTTATTGGTTATGTCTTTCTGTCTTGTTTGACTTATCATGTATTTCGATACTTATTGATTTATGATCTGTCGATCTCTCTTTTTTAATTATTTATTTCCTTCTTTCTTTCCTTCGTTATTTATTTCGTCATTGAATTATTGCGTGCGTTCTTTCTTTTCGTTCGTTATTTCGTTATTTTTTTGCGTTACCTATTTCTGTGGTTCTTTGTTTCGTTTCTTCGTTCGTTCGGTCGGTCAATCTTTCCTGCTCTATTCAGTTCGTTATTTCATTAATTTCTGTGATTCTTCGTTTCTGTGATTCTTTATTTCTGTCTTTCCTCATTTCTCTATTTCCTTTATTTCTGTCTTTCTTTATCTCTTTCTTACGTTCTTTACGTATTCATTCTTCTTTATGCTTTTCGACCTTCTTTCTTTCTGTAGCAACGCCCAATGCAAACGGCGTGCGATAATGCTTCGGCGTCTCGCACCCAAGCCTTCTACCCGCGCGACATGGCGGGACCCCTGTGAAGGTCCAAATCGCGGACGTCTTTTCTGGAGGAAGTTGCAGGGGTCCGGTTCTGCTCAGCATCTCCTTGGCGAGTCGGCGCGTGATGCGGGCTTGATCTCGGGATCTGGAACAGCAGGTTGCGGCGCAGGGTGCGACAACAACGCTGGTGATGCAGGGCTGTTGATCCCTGGCGGTGTGATCGGCACTTCGTGATCTCGCGGAACTTGGATTGGTGCTCCTGTCGTCGTACAGGCATTGTATGTGGTGCCGCGGCGGCCGCGTGGGCGAAGCGGGGCGAATAGGGGTCGCCAGGAGTTGCTCCATGTCAAGGACCACCGTGTCCGCATGCGGCTTCGTGAATACCTTGCCAAAGCGGCATTCATGGCCGCGCCTGGTCGTGCACCGCGATGCGCATGCGGTAGTGGTCGTCCATGCGCATCAGCTCCGAGTGGCCCACACCCAAGAGCCTGCGAATGCTGTCTGTCCCGGCGGCGCGAAGGAATAGTCGCAAGTCATCATCAGACAGCGTGTCCTCCCTGAAGACCACCGAGGCGGCGCGGAAGTTCATGGGAACCTCGGCGGCATCAGTGTGCGAAGAAGCGGCACCGGACATGGCGACGCGATGCGGGGCTATATCTTCAAAAGCTTGAAGGTCTTGAGCGGATAGCAGTTGCAGAGTTCGCTGCTGTCGCTCGTAGATGTCACTCCGTGCAACAAGCTGCACTACACGGCAAACGTTCCCTCGCACAGAGTCACCGCTGTCAGCTCTGAGTAAATAAAAGCAATCTCCAACTGCAGCCAGTTGGGCCTTTTTGGGTTTTGAAGGACGCGCTTTGATCCTGCGGGTGGATTCACGTCATGTTGCTTCTTTTCGCTCCGTCGCCGGTGGCCTCGGCATGGACTTCAGCGGCGCCGACTGTTGGTCAGCACAGGCCTGGCACAATGTTGACCCTGGTCCAGCTTGAGAGTTGGATGAGTTGGCCCAAGACAGCTCCTGAAGAAAGGATGTGACGCCGCTGGCGTCCATGCTTTGCATGAACAAGCCACCTTAGCGAAATCGCAGCTTTTGCAATTTCCTCGCGGACCAAAGCTGCTGTCTGAGGGATCTGACCGTGGGTTGCATTGCCTCGGTTGGATGGAGTCAACTTGAGTGCTACACACCTGCTCTGCGCTCGATTGTAAAGACTGCAGATACTTCCACAAGACATTCGTCTACTGCGCTGCAACATGCTGCAACAGAGAACACAAGGTTGGCGCACTCCGTAGGTTTCGTGCGCGTGCACAGACAACACGATTCAATAGAAAATTTTGTCCAGCACATAAACTGAGCGGTGCAAAATTCTAGATGCCCAACAGAAACGACGAGTTCAATCGCGTACTCGCTTCTCGAACGAGACCAGGGCGCCACCCCTCACAGCAAGCACGAAATCCGGTGCAGGCAGCGTTTGGTATACGAGCAAAACCGTAGGCTTACATCATTGTTGGATTCGCTGTCGCAGTTACACTGCATTCTTCACTCCTAGACGATGCCAAGCAGAGCATCAAAATCGGGATGCATGCGGCCGGCGAGATTGTAAATGTGTACTTCACCGAGTTTGACGAGTACCAATACCTGATGGACGAACTGCGTTCGTTTGCAAGCAGTGTTAACGTATCGCTACACCGGCGATTGTCTCCTGTGCGCTGGTTCGACCATGACATCATCATCTGCGATTCTGGATGCTTTTACTGGATGGAACAGCAGTATCAATAATGAACTGATTGGTCTATGTAGTCACGGTTTGACCACCGGGATCTCGGACTCTGCATGTCCAGCCGCCGAAGTGCGATGTCAATCGCATCGAAAATAGTTGACATCTATGGGCACCTGCCACCAAACAGTTGTCATCACTGGGTCATCATCATCCGACCGCGGCCCCCCTGTTCTCACTCAAGCCGGTAACACTCGCAAGGATTCCGGCGCTGAGTTTAAGCCTGGCTGACCATCGCAAGTGTAAGCCAGAAGCTGCACGAAGTCCAGGATGTTTGTCATCAAATGCCGCTCTCGAAGACTATAACCAGCGTGCCAATGACACATTGTTCCTTGATCTTCCTAGTTTCATAGGCCGTTGTACACTTTTCCTGCACAAAGATTAGACTGATTAGACAAGCCAGTCAGGCGAAAGCGCCTTCTCTGTTTCCGGGTTTAGACGACGAAAGTGCGGCCTCTCCTTTTCGAAAAGCCGAACTTGATGCCGAATCAACAAAGAGGAGTCGCGCGGTCCGGGGCAGTCCATGATTCATCCCCACACTTGACAGAATCTAACGCTCGAAAATGAAAAACATCTGCGTACGCAAGCTCCATTCGTCTCTCTCACCAGCATTGCATCTGCAATCCGAGTGCGGCCTGTCGAATCATCTCGTGTCAGGCAAAGCACATCCGCGCCACCCTGAATTTTTAGACTGCGTCAGCACAGGACACACTCGAGAGCAGTGCGCCTTCTCTTTGCTTCGTGTTGCAAGAATGCTTTCTTCAAGCTTCAGCTGCCTGCCGACTGCTCCAAGGTTAGAGGCAGCGACGTATCAGAAGCAAGAGGGTTCCTCAACTTTAAAGCTGCGGGGCTGCACCAGAAAGACGTGTCCAGCGACACAAATTTGAGACTGCGAAACTTTTCTTGCAATGGCCTGCCAAGGTGGCATGAAGCAGCATGAACACAAGCATTGTCAATGGTCGTCCCGTGGCCTCAAAACGTTGAGAGCCGTGTCCCGCTGAGCGGTGTTCCTCTGTGCAAGATTTGAAGCACATTAGCTGTAGCTACGCAGGCTGAGTATGAACCGACACTGTGCTGAAGCTAGAGGCTGGGGCTTGTGGCCCACGACGACACAGGATCGACGTGAAGTGCAGAGAGTTGACCACCTCATTTTCGTACTGCCACGCAACGGCAACACCCTGGTAGGAAAAGCTGTGCACATGGATGATACAGGATTTCGGCCACTTTGAATTGGTGTCTGGCCCAAGCAGGACCCAAAATAAGTCATACTTTGAGGTGCGGAGAGGCTTGATGCACGCTTCCACCCTCTCAAAGCAGGATGAAGTTGGAATTCACTGCGAAATACCTAGCAACACTGGCACTGCTGCCACCGCGGCTGCAGCTGCTGCTGCTGGTGTTCGTGACGCAGCTGCCACGGTTGCCGCCACTGGGGCCACACGGAAATTCACCAATGGCACTCTGCAGATCTGGTGACTGAGCGATGCGACTTCTTTAACGCGTCAATCCGATGTATTTCCTCGGCTGGTGCGCAGAGAGGGCTACAGCTTTTCTGGCCGTGCCCCAGTGGCTCTAAATTCAACTCATCAGAACCTCTTCAGCAGACACCAAACTGTGTAGCCACCTGGCAAATATACTGTTTTGGAACGAACAGCACGAAGAACGATGCTTGTAAACCCAAGGCGAATGCAGTATGTAGTACTACGTTCAAGCGCCCTAACATGCTAGTGCGATTACGACTCTAATCGACTCTATACATGGCACTGCACATGAGATTCTCAAACTACGGAAGTCAACACGGCTTCTTCAATTATGCTAAAAGCGAAGAAACAGGGGAAATTCACACCCGTCTTTTCTCCGTGTGAGAGCTTTGGTTTTTTTACAACCAAAGCTAAAGGACATTAATCCCGCTTCCGCAAAACCCTTCCGCATCCCTTCCGTGCGCGAAAAGGTGCTTCCGCGGGGCTCTTGGAACGAGCTGTTTCCGGAACTTCCTCCAAAATCTTATGTGCATCATCCTTTTTATTATCTTTATCATATTTGAGTGCTCTTTAAAATCTTTGCTTGCCCGGCAAAATTTGGTCCAATCCTCTCCGCTGTCATTCGCTACCGGTAAAACAGAAATGACAGCAGAGAGGATTGGGCCAAATTTTGCCGACAGCCCGTTCCCGGAACTTCTTCTGACAAGTGAAAGAACTGGACTTAACTTTGTTGGCGAGATGTTTGCGAACATCTAGTCCTATTATGTGCTTTGTTTTTTCTCTCACTTCTGGGAAATGGCAAAAGAGAGAAGTGAGCCAACCTTTACCAGCGAGATGTTGTCAAACATTTGATCCTATCCTCGGTGTTTGTGATTGTTTATGTTGTCGCTACTGTTGTCATTGGCTGCTGTTGTTGGTCACAGTGCTTATAAACGTGCTGGGGGTTTGGAGTTGATGTTAGACTTGGAAGACTGGAACTCACGCCGACCCACACCAAAGGAACGACAAAGACCAACACAAAGCATCCAAGTGTACTATGTATGACCATCCTGATCCTTATCCATCTGTTAGGTCAAATACGACAAAAGAGAGAATTGGACCAAATTTTGCTGGGCAAGCTGTTCTCCAAAATTTTGTCCAATCCTCTCCTTTGGTCGTGGCCCAGAACCACAGGACAAGGAGAAGTGAGCACACTCACATATCTGCATTGAATGGGAACACCTCTCCTTTGCTCGTGGGCTAGAACCGAAAGACAAGGAGAAGTGAATACACATACCTGCATTGAATGGAAACAACACCTGTAAAGTTATAACACCCATTCAATGACGGGGTATGGCTTATAAGATGGCACAACACATTTCAGGCACTGCCTAGTCTCGGTATCCTCTTTTCTGGAAATGAAGTGACAAGTGAGAGAACTGGACTCTCTGGTGCAACACTAGCAGTCACCAGCGCTGTAATCCGACCGCTCCGCTACCAATTTGGAATGAATGTCGGCTTCCGGAGTTACAGCACGGAAAACGACAAATCTTTTTGCTTGTAAGCCTAAGGCGCCTGCAGTATGTAACAGTAACATTACGTTCAGGCGCTCTAACATGCTAGTGCGACTACGACTCTACACATGGCACTGCGCATGAGCTTCTCAAACTGCGGCGGTCAACACCGCTTCTTCAACTACAGTACGAAAGATCGGCGAAATTCACAACTGTGTACTCATATGACTCGTACGCTGTTGTCCAGTAGGCTCGTCACATCTTGCTTCATGGCATCGGATATGTCAATGTAGTGAGATAGGCTGACATGACGCAACATGGCTGGCAAAATGAGACAAGACTCCAAAACGAGAGCAGGCTTTATTCTCTTCTCCAGGTCCTGCAAGTGACGTGACGGGTTCGAGCTCAGCCATTGGGTGTCTTAGGACGGGTCCTCGACCTTTGAAATTCCAGTCAGATGAAGAGGTCGCGGCTTGTTGCCATTGGCGACAACGAAGGACAAAGGTGGCTTCAGGCTAAGGCTGAACCTCGATGCCATCGACTGCACGGGCTGGCAGGATTCAGATTAGAGTCTGCGACCGCTGGGCCACACTTCGACCACTAGAAGTCTGGTCCCAACCTTACAACCCGCGACACAGCGACTGCCCTCTGAGCACCATGAGCTTTAAGCCACTGAGCTTCAGACAACGAAGAATGCCAACACTCAACCTGAGCAATCAAGCGACCGACACGGACGTGTGAACGACAAGACACATAATGCCGACACACTAAAGATTATCTCGACGATTGCATACAGGTCACGCATGTGAACACACAAATACAAACAGATATACAGACAAACGACCGTAAGATCTCCTAACAAGTGCGAGGATTCGGCTTACACAATCTCCACCTCCCTGCATTTGCGGAGCCATGTGATTGCATCCTGAAGTCGCAAGTCTTCGATTGTGTAAGCATTGTCAGGCCTGTTGTTGTCAGAGGTTTCATGTAGACAGAAGGAGGTCTTTCTCAGTCGACAAACTTCTTAGTGTTGATGGGCGTGCACATGTTGCTGCCGGAAGTGAGATTGACAAATGGCTCAGTCACGGAATCATCGGCCTGTGGAAGGTTGTTGACCCACTATAGTTCATGCGCCCATGCAAGTATGGAAAGCGCGAGCAAAGGCAGGTCCATAAACTCAAGCATCGTCGTTAGCCAACACGATAGTGTGTGGGAAGCACCTTGAATTGAAGAAACGTCGAGGACGAGGATGTCGAATCGATTGGAAGAAGCGAGACTCTCTTGATTCAGCAAACTCATGTTCTGCACACCGAACACTAACAATGACCGACGACATGTCTCAGCTCAGTTCGCTTTATAGCATACGAGCTTCATTGAATTATACCAGCCTCGACCCCAAACAGCAATTGAGAAGTACCGATTCCGATACCAGACGGGCGTTAGAGCATCCAGAATGTGGGAGACAAATGGGAG